CTTCGACCAAAGGGGGATTTTGGTTGGGGCGGGAGCCAGAACATCAGAGGCCTTCATCTCTGTGCAGGAAGAGGAAAGGTGACCAGTCTTTCCACACTTCCAGCATGCGGTTTCCGACCGTCACAATTATCAGCATCTTCTGGCTCTTTACATCCAGACAGTTGGGGATGGTGCGGAAGGCATCCTGATTGATCATAATCTTGAGCTCCACCCCGGTAAGATCATCTGAGGAAGCACTGAGAATCTGTCAAACTGGCACAGATAAGCGGCCAAGTGCTCTCCGACAATCTGAGAGGAACCTCATACATTGATACATGGTCCTCGCCTGCCTTCATACTCGGTTCTCAGAATAAGGTCTTTGGTGATGAGATCACGAGTCGCAGCAGCTTCACAGTCGGCAGGCGTGGGTAACAGTACGTCCCACATAAAATAGCCTTTTCCTTTCACAACCCTCTGAGGTTTAATGCCCAGAGAATTTAAGGCTTTAATTAGTGTCTTTTGTGGATCAACAAATCTTGCGCGAACGCTTGTCGATCACAAAGACTGACACAATTTGTTTTTCAACCTTTTTCAATTCCTCGGGATTAGGCAAGAGCCCATCTGCTGTCACCAGATGTGCGTAGCTCTTGGCCCTCTCGAGAACTCCGTAATGTTGATTTTGCAATTCGTGCGGGACTTCCAGCATGAGGCGTCTCTCCGGCCGCTATGTTTCGTCGTTATTCTGGGATGTCTGATCGGTTGATTTTGGCTGCTTTCAGCCACCATACCCTTGTCACATGGGCTGGTTTTATTTTTTTCAGCATCTTGGCCGCTTTCAGCCACCATATTCTGGTCTGGAACACTTGGATCAATGCCAGTATTTTGGCCGTTTGAGGCCACCATACTTTTCTCTGGATTTTTCTCCTCTAAATTATCATCATTAGGGGACACCATACTTTTTTCTTCCACATTTGCACTTTCTTGCAAATCTAACTCTTTATCAGGAGGGTCTTTTTTCTTTTTTTTTAGAACCAAACAGGTTCTTTCTTACAGTTCTCTTGGGACCCATTTTTTAAAAACGGGACATTTTTTTTTTTCTTTTTTTTTTTTTTCCTTTCACATAAAAAGTATAATTTAAAAGAAAGATGAATAAGAATAAATCACAATAACAAAAGAAATTTAACGAGACAGAACAATAAACAGTTAAACAGGAAAAAATAAGTTACAAAAAACACATACGCTTAAAACGACAAAATACGTTCAAAATAAAAACAGTTAACAATTACAAATTACAAAAAAGCGAGTACAAAAAAGAAAATCACAAATTAAGACGGAAAATAAACAAAAGGTGTCTTTTTTTTTACAATAATACAAAAATTACGAAACAAAAAATGCCAAACGAGTTCACAAATACAATATGGCTGCCACTAGAAAAACTAGTCAGCCCACGAACACGAAACTAAAAAACACGTAAACTAAAATAAAGAAAACTAACGAATAATAAAATAAATGCGGAAAATAAATGCAAAAAATTACAATAAACACAAAAAGGACTTAAATAAAGGAACACAGAATAAATAACAGTTATTTACAACAACAAAGAAACAATGAAAACACGTAGAAATAAAAATGTAAACAAAGAAGAACAAAGTCTTACGGGGGGCAAAATAAACAATGAAAAAATAAAGTTTGGCGTGGGGAAATTACTGAAAATTAAAAGAAAAAAATTAAAACTCAAAAACACGTAATTAAAGAAAATGAAATTTAATAATAAGAAACGACAAGGGATAAAGTAAAAAAAATAAGAGGGGGAGGGAAAGAAAGAAAAATCAAATCAAACTTTTGGCAAAGAAGTCAATAAACTGAACGTAAATTTAAAATAAAAAGAACTTAACGTGAACAAAAGTTGAAATCCAAAAACAGTTCGTAAACACTCGCAAATGCGTCTGGCGCCAGGCACCGGTCGTATACTGTCGAAAAAAGAACTCTCCTCAAAGAGGTACCAGAGAGGAAAGTTCATTAGAACAATTATCATGAAAGTATTTATAAAAAAGGTATAGGGAAGCTATGTTACGGCAGTGGGGAAGTGAGTGAGATGCCAATAATATTACAGATTCTTGTTTGGATTTTATCAAGAATCTCCAAATATATAGCAGGAGCACCTGACTGGATGTGGTAGCAATATTTAAAGCAAATAGAAAAAAGAATTGGGGTGAGAGATGAATAGAAAAAGTATCTCAATTCATAACAACATGTGTTAGAAATCTTTGAATCTCAGTGAAGATTTTAACAAGGGATATACTGTTACAGATGACACAGAGTGATTTGCTAGAGAATTAAGGATGATTCCTCAGAATTAGAAATAATTTTGAACTGAAAAGCATTAAAATCATTGGATAGACTGTGTCTGCTAATGAATGCTGCCATATTTTTGATAAAATTGAAACTGTCTTATGTAGTGTGTGTGTGTGTGTGCAGAGTTGTTACCTTGAAGAACTTTATTTGTATCTATTTCATAAAATGCAAAATTTTCTTTTTTTCATGAAAAATCAATATAAATTATCTGTTTTAATTAAGAAAATAACATAAAAGATGCACAATTATATCAGCATGGCACCACTTGTTTGAACTGTTACACCCAGAATGCCATTTTAGATTTATTAGTTCTAGGACAAAGCATTTGAGGGCAGCTTTTATCCTTGGGCCATGTGTATAATCAATACTGCCACACACTGATAGTTTTTAACATATTTTAAACATTATTACTTCATTTGATAGTGTTTTCTTTATTTTTTGTATTAGTCCACTTTGGAACTGCTGTTCAATTTCACTGTACATTACACAGTGACAAGAAGAATGAATAAAATATTCAAGAAAACTCTTTTAGTGATTTTAAACATGTAATGTTTAAATCAAACATTTAGTACATTAAAAACATTACAAAAACAATTTGGATATAACATAGGTACCTTCATGAGATCGCTAAAAAAGAGTATTGCATGATGAAAATGACACCAAACTTGACGAAAACAAAATTTTATCGTCTAAATGTTTATGTTATTATTAAGAAGAAAGATCAAAGTATTTTGGGGTATTTTTTTACAGTTTTTAATTGTTCCTAGCATGTCCGAAATTTTCATTAAAAATCTTGTTTTTTTTTTTTTTTTGAGTCAGCAAAATTGACAGATAATCAATCATGTCAATCATTTTTTTTCAATTTTATAATGGAAAAAAAAATGAAAATCTCATTTTGAAATTCTTTTAAATATCAATTATCATTTTTCAAAACTTATTTTAAGAAAATCAGAAATTATAACGTTTATTTAAAATATTTTGAAACCAGCATTATTTAGTTTCTTCGCCGAAAAGGTGTAGTTTGAAAATTAAACAAAGCAGATCATAACATTTTGCGTCACTTGACAGTTGATGAATGACATATTGATGGATTGCATAAGGATAATTCGTTCTACGGAAGGAGAGAAGTGAAATTATTTAGATTTACGTGAACAAATTATTTACCTCATTATTTTTAAGGAAAACTTTCAGCGTTCTAATTTTTTTTTTTATTACTTAGCTTTCACCTTTACGTTAACGATGCTTTATGGAAAATATATCATAAAGAAATTAAAATAAGACTGTTAAGAGTGAGATTAAATTTCATAAGAAAGGTATCTAATTAATTTCTAATGAAATTTTATCAGAAGTGTACATAAAATACTATAATTTTATGTACATTTATTACATTTTACAGTGTTATTTGTATTTCCATTCAATTTATTATCAATTTTGATATGACATTTTTCCATAAATGAAATAACTGAGATTAATATAAAAAGATCATATAAATTTCATAAGGTGATACTGATGCTTGTAGGTACCCTTCTCAGTTGAAATTGAAAAATCAAATTCTCTATACATGTTTCACAAAAGCAAAGGCCTTAACATTGGAGAACAATGCTTAACTCAAATAACGCAACTTAATTGTATTCTGGTTGGTCTTCCATACTTTATAATTACAGCCCGATAAACACAAAATTACATTTCTTAATTACTGCGCGTCTTCTGATTAGTCAAAACGATACAATTTACAATGTGGTAAAAAAAGATCTATCTCATAAGGACATTTATGAAAGTGGATGCGGCTTTTAACTAATTTTATATTTTAACAACTTAAATGTAAAAATCTATTATAATTAAAGAAATAACAAATAATTGTATTAAAAATTCATTTTTCATTGAAAAAAATTTTTGCTTTCAGAAAATATTGTCCATATTCATAAAAACAACTAAAAGCATTTGAAATTAAATAATATCTTTATTTTATTGACTTTTGTATGTTACAATTCAGAGCTGATTTTCAGGTAGGGGCAGGAGTCCAATTAAAAAAAAATACATGATTTGCTTTCCTCAAAGCCTTGTGCTTTTAACTAATATAATCATTAAACTGAATTCGACTGAATTTCTAGAGTTTTCATAAAATTAGTGATGTGGGGGTGGGTAATAAATATAAAATATATTTTTTCTTTGACTTTAAAAAAACAAAACATATTTACAATAATTTCCATCATTTGTGAATAGTTTCTGAAAGTTTCATTAACATCTGACAATTTTTATTTTTGCAAGATTTTCCAAATTAATGTCTGTCATACAAAAAAAAAACATGCTGAAAATTTGTTATTTTACTAGTTCTTATGGAGGTACCTAATATAACAGTAACATTACTGTATATAAAAAGTAAGCTAACATTATTTTATATAAAAGCAATGTAAATACACTCACACCATTGCCAGTCATTCTTTTTTGGTGGTTTTATATAAATTTTCATATACCTTAATTTAAATACACTACATATTGGATACATTTTTTAATGTTGAAGATATTAAGATTTGGCCTTCAAATTGAAATTGGTCAACTTTGAATAAAATGTGAAAATAATTCTGCTATCTAAAAGAAGTTATTAAAAAAACATGTTGACTTAAAATATGTTCTATGTTAATTTTATGCAGCTATATTTATTTCAGGACCTGTTTTTGTGGAGTTTCCGATTGATGTACTCTATCCATATGAAACAGTGAAACGAGAACTTGGAATGAAGGATTCTGGAAAAGGAATATTCCAGAAGATAGTTAACTGGTAAGTGAAAACCATAAGAAATTAATACTTTGATGTACCCTCAAGAAGAAAAAGAAATTAACCCACATGAATTGGATTTGTCTATTTATTACTCGTAGTTTGTTCCTATCCATTCCTTTCTTTGTTGATTTGGCAAATGTCTATTCTTCATCTGTGAGGAAATTATCCAGCACTTGAGCTGTGTATCAGAAATATCAAAATGAAACAAATTTGGAAATTCAGTTACATATGACTCTGAAATTTAAATGTGAATAGGAATATCAAGAAACACTTTTCAGAAAGTGAGTGAAGAATTAATGGTTTGAAAAATAACATTACATTAAATATGAAAGAAAGAGTTACAGTAGTGCCGTGTAATGTCTTTTCCTCTTATATTTTGGAAGTCTTGAAGCAACAGGTAAAATTTATCTAGCAAAAACCAGTTAATATATTTTCTTATCATTTACAAATAAGTTAATTGACTTAAAACTGCTTCATCTTTTATATGCCAAATCCCTTCATGGCTCTCCACAACTTCCTATCCTTTGTAACTCTAAGCAATGTTTGTCCATTTACTATCCCTCTCAGACCATGTTCTGTGATACACTTACACAATCTCATTAGGTCAGTTATTCAGTTTCCCATTTCTCCTCTTGCTTTCAATATTTCCTATGAGTATCAAATTCTCCACACCTTCTTTCCTCAATAAATCTTAGAGACACAGAAATTTAAAGGTACACTGAAATATCAAGAAACACTTTTCAGAAAGTGAGTAAAGAAACTCTTAGCATAGAACTTACAGCTCCATCTAGCCAGCTCAACCATAAATTGATGAGATCTCGACACCAGTCTAGTACTGCACTTAAATTTATAAAGTCTAGGTACTATAGCAAAGAGCTCATCCAAACAATTACCATGACTGTATTTACAGAAAAGACATAGAGACTTAACCTTACGGTGGTGGGAAAATGACTGAAGCCAAGCTGCTAGATTAGGACCAATAATATTGCTGATTTTTCTTTGGATCTTATCAAGGACTCAAGGTAAATAGCAGGGGCACCAGACCATATGTGGCAGGAATATTCTAAGCATGGATGAATGGTAGACTTGTTGGATGGTCTCTTCAAAGATGAAGAGACTCGAGGCAACAGAGGTATGGTTCTACAGAAGGATGCTAAGGATACCATGCACCAAACATGTAAGCAAGGATGAGGTTTTGGATTGGATGCAAACAAAGAGAAAAATTATACTTAACATCAGGAAGAGGCAGTTGAAATTTCTGGGATATGTAATGAGGAAAGAGGAATTAGAAAATCTGATACTCACAGGGTGGAAAGAGGGACAAGGGAAAGCAATGTATGACATACTTAACAAGCTAAACAAGGGGATGGCAGAACAGGGTCTGAGAGAAAAAAAAGACAAAACTTATTGAAAGCTACAAGGGACAAGAAGAAGTGGAGAGCCATGATTGCCTACACCCTGAAGGGACATGGCACATAAAAGAAGATAGACTTGACTTTTATGACACAGTAAACCAACTTTTTTAGAGGCTAACCTAGCAATAGATTCACTGTAGTCTTTTCACTTCATGTTAGCCTGAGAAGGTGCAACGTGTCACTTATCTGGAGGTTAGCATCAGCCATGTTGATAGAAGGCAGTGAAGGGTCTATCAGATGATTAATGGAGAGAAGCTTAGTTTTGGAGCCATGATTAAGCATATTTTGATAGCATTGTTCAAATTGTTATGAAGTCAAAAGTAATTAAACATTTCTTAAAGTTTTATTTAAAGCTAACTTAATTCTTTTTGCTTTGACTTAGCAATAACTGGACATACATACACAAGTCACTTACAGTGAGATTGCATTCTTTGATTATTGAATTTTTATAGTAGATCATACATTTTGCTATTATTATAGATGTTATACTACATCGCAGTTAGATCTCTTTCTGATTCATTCTGCATGCTGGCTGGATGTGAACACCACGAAGGCAGAGAACAAAACAACAAAAGTCATTTTCTGCACATTAGGCTCCACGCATCATGTCTGATCTACAATGTGACCTCTGGCAGTGGCCAATTGTGAACATTCCCGCTGGAGAGAGAGAGATGCTCCTGGGGACGATGAGACCTACTGAAAAGGAGAACACCAGCCAGTTGCAGCCCGGCATGCTGCTGGCTGTCACACAGGGTGCTGCTGCTGCTATCTAGCTTTGTGTTGATAATATCTCCACATCAGCAACACTAAGCTGCAAGTCTTTTTTGTCATCACTGGTGTCACCTCAGCAAATCCAACTCTGCAAGTATGCAACTTCAACTCCACAATCAAGCTACCATTGCAAGCAACAACTCCGACAACTGCAACCCAGCGACTCTGACTCCACTAGGAAACGATTCTGCAAGCATGCAACACACTTGACCCACCAATATGCACCTATCATACCTTGTGACCTCACACCAAACCCAAAAATTAAGTTGACTCCCAGTGCTACCCTTAAACCTGACCACCATCTTGATGACTGGCCACTGAAATGGACATTCCACCCATCCTTCAACATGTTTGTATGACATGCCAACAATAAACATTATTCAAATCTAATCCTCGTTATTCCTTTCTCTCGTTACCAAATGCATAATATAACAATTGGTGTCAGAAGCATGCATCAAGGGAAAAGGATATAAAAACGCACATCAGCAGTAAAGGATTAGCGATCTGAATAGGACCAGCAAAACATTCTTCTCTCTCCCATCAATCATCAATTTTGCTGAACACACCACCACTCACTGCCTATGAATCAGACTGAGATACTCCATTGCAATTAGATCTCTTTCTGTTTTATTTTGCATGCTGGCCAGATTCCACCCATCCTTCAACATCTCAGTAAAACATGCCAACAAGAAACATTGTTCAAATCTAATCCTTGTTATTTTTTTCTCTTGCTACAAAATGCTTAATATAACATAGAGAATAACTATCAGTATAACCTGTCTGCAACAAGGTGTTTCATTACTGGGAATTTTTGCCATTCAGTTGGAGCAGTTTAAGTTTAAAGTCAGCCCACCTGAAAAATCAATATTAGTAACAACAATTGGGTGCAACTGATGCACATCCCCAAATGGTGGGGGTTAACAATTTGAATGGGAGGTGGCCTTGAAAAGGGCCGTTTTTGCATTCTCAATTTTGTTTCAGCCTCATGCGCAGCAGCAGTTGAAGAGGTGTTTCTCCCCAGCCGTTGAGTTGTTTGATCATCATTTTCAGCCTCACGCACAAAAGCGTTCAGGTATGCTCTTCTGGAAAGCCGACAGCTACATTGATCTTTGGACACAGTGGCTCTGATTGAAGCATTCTGAGACAGGTGAACTGAACGTTTTAAAGACGATTCGTTATTCCTTATTCACATGGCAGACATGGTGGCAGTGGTTTTTTCGACCTAGGCAAGTTCTTTTCTTTGGCGACATGTCTTAGACAAATATGAATTGTCTAATGGAATGTGTAGGCAAATACCAGAAGCGAACACTAAAAAGCTAAGCTCAAATAACTTTAGGAAAGGTTGGAAAAATAAATGTTGAGTAATAAAAAAGCAAGATTACTTATTACTACAGTGAATGCAATGCAAAAACTGGCAGGACAATAAAAAAATTCAAATTGGAAATAGCTATAAATGAAAGCAATGCCTTAAAACTATAGTAGTAGGCTTTATGCAACGGAAAAGGTAACCTCACTTGAGAGAGAAGGGGAATGTGTAAGCAGAGCTGGCTGTACAGAAGTAGAAGTGGAATTAAGCCATAGAAATGAGCTTAGGACTGCATAGACAATCAGTATGACATAGCAACATTTGATTGGATGTGTAAAGGGGCTTTGTGCAGCCAACAGGCAACTCAAACTGGTGTCGCATTCTGCATGTCATGCGTATGCGTGTGCCTCAGTGAGTGTGTCAGTGCATAACACAGTGCGTGTTGCAGGGCCACACGTACACCCGTTGCTGCACTTGCTAATTATCAAGGTCAGCAGCAACTGATGGGCAAGGTGTGACTCATGCCACACAGCTTGGATTGGAAGGTTATGTGTGAAAAAGTAATATTAGGAAATGTTTAGGCAAATGAAGCTGAGACAATATGAACAAACAAAACTTGTTAAATGGACACAAACAGTTGCAGAATAGGTGGGTTTACTTGTATGCAGGCAGAATGGCACCTAAATGCTGAGGTAACATGGTACATCATTGATGTCTTGCACCTGTAAAACTTATTTAGGTTCGCTACAATTGAGCAGTTTTTTCACAGGAAAAATGACAAAAATAGGATGTCCCTGGCAAAAGTTATCTTGCTTGAGGCATCATCACCCCACTCCAAAAAAATGTTATTTTACATGCCTGTTTCCCATACAGCTGCACATTGAACACCCCTGCAAATGCTACATGACCGTCTCTAAATTACACATCTTTTACATTAGATTTCAACTTTCTAAATTGATTGTATGCTGTTTTTTACAGATATTAAATTTTGTCTTTGATTTTTACTCAAAGTGTAAAAAAATTAGTTTTTGATTTTTTTTCACCTTCCAGGTTGTAATTTTTTCCAGCAAATTTAGACTCAAAACTGCCACTGAAGAATTATCTATCAAGCAAAAAAAATTTCATCAAAATCGGATGAAAACTGTGGAAAGACATAAACAACATCTGATCACACACACACAGATTTTGAGACTTATAGATTACATTTTCAGGTTCTCTTCACAGATATGTTAATTAGTTATAAGTAATTATTATTATAATTATATTATAATATTAATAAAAATTATTTATAATTTATATAATTAATTATATAAATTTAACTGTATAATAATAAATAATATTAAACAGTTTATTTTTATTAAAGTTTTTATGAAAGATACCAAGAACAGGTAGTAAATAGTAAAACGTTACTGAAAGTTATAATGGACAGGAAGTAGTGGAGACCCTTGTTGCCAACAATTTGGACTCAAAACTGGCACTTAAGAATTACCTATCAAATAAAAAAAATTCATCAAAATCAGATGAAAACTGGAAATGTATAAACAACATCTGATCTCTCTCTCACACACACACATTTTGAGAATTATAGATATAGATAATGAAAATTGGGGCGAAAGAAACATTGCTGATTGAAACATTACACTTAAGCTGTATAAAAATTAATATTAAATATTTTTAATATGTGAAATTTAAATTTAATGTTAAATTAACAATTAAATATGAAAATTATCTGAATATTAAATATTTGTTCATTTGTATTTCAACACTGGATTGGCTGTTAATCATATAACAGCAAGTTATTTTTTTTCAATTACAGATCACCACCTGCTAGAGTTGATGAGTGCTTATCAAAACTTGTTTTATTACATGAGTTACAAATTTTATCAAAATAAGAACTACTTCAAAAGATAAAGAAAGAGAAGAAAGGACTAATTATGAATTGCAAGAAGACCGAATGCATGGTTGTTAGCAAAAGGTACAACCCACCAAGCATATTACAAATGGAGATATTAAAATCAAACCAGTACGATAATTTAAATATCTGGGATGTGTTTTAACAGAGGACAGCGCAATACTGAAATCTTAAAATGCATTGGAAATAGCAAAAGATGGTTTTTAAAACCTAAGCAAAGTATTAAACAGGAAAATTTTGTTAGAAATAAAGGAAAAAGTACTGAACTGTTACATAATATCAGTCCTCCTATATGGCAGTGAACACTGGACAATCATTTCACAGATAAAGAAGGGACTTGAAGCAACAAAATGCGATTCTATGGGAGGAGGCTGAGAATGTCATGAACGATGAAGTTTTAAAGAAAATGGAAACAAAAAGGAGCAGGAAGTGATAGTTGAAATTTCTAGGGCACATAATGAGGAAAGAGGGATTGAGAAATTTGACACTCACCAAACATTGAAGGCAAGAGGGCCAGAGGATAACAACATATAACCTGCCTAGAGAGCTTGTGTCAATAGTGGGACAGGATTTAGGAGAGATAACAAAAAGACAAATTGTATTAAGGGCTATAAAGGACAGGAAATTGTAGAGAGCCAGATGACACATAGAAGAAGAAGAAGAACCAAATGCAAAAGTTACAATTATTGCTAATTTCTTTCCTTTTTTTTTTTTTTTATAGGTATTTACAGAATCATCTGAACAATTTGTTTTCAGGAGCCTTTGAAGAGAGAGACATGAGCCCTCTTGAAGTGAAAATCCCTTTGCCAACTGTCAGTCAAGGTTTGTGGTTCCTTTTTATTTTTAATCTAATGATATTTTCTGTTTCATTTTAAAGAAAATGGCAACATATAAAATATTGTAAAATTTTAATAAATAATGCTGATGATAATTGTTGTGATTGTTGGAATATAAACATGTCTGTGATTGTAGATTTTTGTTGCAGTTCAAACACACAATAATATATATACAAATTTGAGTGCTACCATCTGAGATATATATAATGCACACACACACACACGCATAAAAGGTTAATGGTCAGAGTTGAATCAGACCAGAAAACAGTAGCATTAAAAAAAAAAATCCAAAATTTTAAGTCCCTGTCCTCATATCTAAAAATTTTTATTAAGTGAATATGAGGCTGGATAAAAAAATCCAATTTAAAACCTCACTGTGATTTTCTAAGCATAGCTCAGATGTGGCACAAGGCCGAATATGTGAACTCACTGAGTGCTTCACACATTCGACCTTGTGCCACATCTAAGCTATGCTTAAAAAATTCATTCATTGGATGCCCTCAAGCTTATAGTCTTGTGCCACATCTGAGCTATGCTTAGAAAATGAACATATTCACAAATATTTTTCTGTATATTATTCATGAATATGAAAGGATTATGATAAAAATAAGCAGACATAATGTTTGTAATTTATTCAGTCAGATATGTCTAAAAGAGAATTTGCTGCCTAAACATGCACACACACACACACACACACACACACACATACATATATATATATAGGATGAAGCTATATGGAATGATATTTTAGTATGATATTACTACTAATAATAATATGGATACTACTACTGATATTTCTGGTGTTTTATGTCAAGTCTAACAAAATGTCTCAAGGTCATGGGCCCAGATACAACCTATTATTTGATGATGATGAGTTATAGGAAATGAAATTCTTGTGTTAAATGCAAGTTCAAAAATTGCTGAAAATTACAGAGAAAATGTTAAAGCTTTTTCAGAGTTTAAAAGAATGTCTCTAACTTTTGCATTTCTAACAGTGGTAAACTGAACTGTGATTTTCTGAAATAAAGTGACATTTTTATCTGGCAAAATTGACAATAGTTAGAGTGTATTTATAGGGCCTGGGTATGGATTGGTTACCAATATACTCACTAATCCACTCTTGTATCTGTTTGACAATGTGATATCCAAGTGATGTGACCATAGTTAAGATGAATGGTGTTGAGATTGTGTGTAGATAGTGTGTGGCTGTCATTTTTGGGTAATTTTGAAAATAAAAAATGAAGTTTTTTGTTTGCATAGCAGCATATCAACCTCTGTGGGTTATTTAATGCTGAAATCTAAATATTTTGTGTACAGTTTTTTTTTTGTTTTTTTTTCAAAAAATGAAAAGAAAATTAGTTTACTATAATTAAAAGTGTATTCCATCACAATGCACAGAGAGATGGAGTCTTGCTTTTCCCAAATTTATTAGTGCAAAAGTAACCTAAGCAGTTGAACTTGAATTTCATCACTAAAACTTTATCATTGTAATCAGAAAAAATTTTTTACCATAATTACTTCAGTTGAAAACTTTCATTATTGCTAATAACAAATATTCAAATCTTTTATGTTTCAACAACATAAAAGATTTGAATATTTGTTGTTATAAAAACCAAAAAATATCTCCATAATCTAATTATTTGGATATGTAATACAATATTCATGTTCACATTGTGAGGAGATGTTGAAATAATATTTATCAAGTTTATTTAATGCCTATCCAACACATTTAGCTTGGTACCAAACAAAATCGCAATGCTCTCTCGTCTGTTTCCTATTTATTAAAACCAAGAACCAATCAAATTACAAAACTGACCAAGAAGCCCTTCCCTAAAAAGTAAATCTGATTGTCAGATTTTGGGAAGTGGTCTAGGCTAAGATGTTTCCAATTTTCCTTCGTATTTCTGGAGGTTATTATATAATTGGTTAGGTACCTCCACGAGATCGCTAAGAAAAGAGCATAGCATGATGAAAAAGACGCCAAACTTGATGAAAACAAGATTTTATCATCTAAATGTTTGTTATTATTAAGAGGAAAGATCAAAGTAATTTTGGGGTATTTTTTTATATTAATTGTTCCTAGCACGTCCAAAATTTTTGTTAAAAATCTTGTTTTTTTTGAGTCAGCAAAATTGATAATTTTTTTCCATTTTATAAAAAAACTGGAAATCTCAGTTTGAAATTCTTTTAAATATCAATTATCATTTTTTCAAAACTTATTTTAAGAAAATCAGAAATTATAATGTTTATTTAAAATATTTTGAACCAAGCTTAACTTAGCTTCTGCGCAGAAAAGATGTAATTTGAAAATAAAACAAAGCAGGTCATAAACTTTCGCATCACTTGACAGGTGATGAATGACATATTGACGGATTCTGTGAGGATAATTTGTTCTACAGAAGGAGAAAAGTGAAATAATTTATATTTAAGTGAAGAAATTATTTACCTTGTTATTATTAAGGAAAACTTTCAGCGTTCTAATTTTTTTTTGTACTTTACGTTTTTTCACCTTTACGTTTACGATGCTTTATGGAAAATATAAAGAAATTAAAATAAGACTATTAAGAGTGCAATTAAATTTCATAAGAAAGGTATCTAATTAATTTCTAATGAAATCTTATCAGAAGTGTACATAAAATACTATAATTTTATGTACATTTATTACATTTTACAGTGTTATTTGTATTTCCATTCATTTTATTATCAATTTTGATATTTCCTTTATGGAAAAATGTCATAACTGAGATTAATATAAAAATAAGATCATATAAATTTCATAAGATGATACTGATATGTGTAGGTACTCTTCTCAGTTGAAATTGAAAAATCAAATTAACTTCTCCACACATGTTTGCAAATTTGGCGTCTTTTTCATCATGCTATGCTCTTTTTTAGTGATCTCATGAAGGTACCTAATAAGTGGTGTAATCAAATCAATTTTTTTCTCATTATTTATTTAAAAAAAACAAACCAACCAAGCAAAGACTTAAAGTAGTAGTAGTAATAATAGTATTCAGCCTATTTTTATTGTTAAGTTATGGCGTTTATTGTGTTGGTATATTTTTTATTATTTAATCACATTTCTGTTATTATTTTTTCAATGAAGACTTACCGCAACCCTAGTGTTAAATTTGACATTTATTATAGCAAATTTTAAGTACTTAGCTGTTTGTGCAGACTTTCAATTGGGATTAATAATTCCAAACCTTTTAGTCTGCTATTGGTTTTCTTATTGATATCTTTTGAAGAATAACAGCATATCTATTGTTTTGTTGTGTTTATATTAGTAGTTAGTGGTGGTTGATTTCAATTGCCCAATAATTTCTTGTATTCCACATTTTTTAAAGTGTCTACTTTTTATTGAACATTAGAATTTGCTTAAAAAAATGCTATATTTTTATTTATAAGTAGTGAATCCTTCAAGTTCAGTAAATGTTTTTGCTTAACTTATGTGGAAGGCACACATCAAAGTGACTAACATAACCAAGATGATGCAAATGGTTTTTCTTATTTGTGTAGAAGCTGCACACAACAGTGACTAACATAACCAAGATGATTCATACGATTATTCTTACTTATGTGGAAGACGCACATCAAAATGACTAAGTATTTACTCTGTCTCCCCACTAAGACGAGTTGTGACACATAGTTAGGTTTTAAAGTGGGGACCTGAGTGTATACACCCAGGCTAGGAACAAAAATTGCCTGCAGCCCAAGCAACTGTCGGTTGCACTGGCCATAGTGCAAGCACTCTGGTGCAATTAGAGGGCATGGCCTTGGACCCCTGTTCCCCACGGCTGGGCACCTCTCAGTATAATTTTTCTCAGTTGCGACTCTGTCCTTTGATGGAGTCACCCATGAGTGCACTCTGCCCAAGGACAGACACACAACTGAGAGATGATAAATAGATATGTTACAAAACCACTGGAGAGTAGTTTACACACTGAAGTCACATCAAAGTGACTAACCTGACCAAATAAAAATACATCAAGTTTGACAAATTAAAAAAATGCAGTAATATAACACCTGTTACAATACAATTAACAGTAATATTTGTAAAAGAAGTTAACTTAAACTAAATGCTCTGAATGCTTTATAATGAGAAAAAGAAATATAGGGAGACCAACACAATCGTAGCAACAATACCTGTATACATATGTGCACAACATGAATGATAGTAAAGTTATAGAATGCCCTAGCCGTTTTTTGGTATCTCTTATATTTGTTCATGTATTTCTTTATTTCCATTTTGAAGTTCAATATTTTTAATTTGGGTAACTAAATTATAATTATCACTTTATTACAAGAAAAAGAAAAAAAACATTGTTAATGTTATGTCTTTTTGTGTTTTTCTTAGTTCAAAAATGTGTAGAGTTACTGTCCAAAGCCAAAAAACCTGTATTTGTCCTAGGCAGTCAGGTGACTCTGCCTCCAGTTCCTGCAGAAAAACTCTCTGCTGCTCTTGAGGTAATGCTTTTTCCAAATTACAGTTTTCATTTCTGTTTGATTTCAAATTCATGAGAAAGATTTCAACTCAAATCTCTTGACATTTTGTCTACTTCAAGCCATCTTGTTGAATTATTACTGAAATACTTTTGAAAGAGTGAATGTGACACTAAATATATCTGGTTGTCTCTTCACCTTTAATGACTCCCAAGTTTCTCTATAAATTTTTTTTTTTTTTTTTTTAAATTTTTTATTTAGTAGTAAAGCCGCTAAAAGGAGTTACAGGATGGGGAAGAGTTAAGAACAGAAACATTACTAATGAGAAGGAAGAAAAAAGAGTAATCAGGAGGGCAGTAGACAGTGATTGACATTGCATTTAAATTTTTGTAGATTAAAGTTGGCTGGTAAACATGGAGTCAGAAGGGAGTTCCGTAATCAAGAACTGCAAGAAAAGACATTCTTAGCATAGAAGTAGCAGTTACATCTAACCAGCACAAATGTAAATTGATGAGATCTCAACGTCAGTCTAGTACTGTGCTTAAATTCATAAAATCTAGGTGTCATAGCGAAGAGCTCATCTAAACAATTACCATGAAAATATTCATAGAAAAGACACAGAGGTAAACATATGACAATGGATAAGTGACTGAAGCCGAGCTACCAGATCAGGACCAATAATATTACTGATTATGTGGATTTTATCAAGGAGCTCAAGATAAATAGCAAGGGTACTGGATTGTACCTATGTTATACCATAATACCTATTCTACTGTAATAGACTCTCCCACAGATAAGTAGTAGTAGCAGTGGCCAGTTGGGCTCAATGGTGTTGAGCGAGTCAGTCGATGTCGGACATTGAAGTATCAACCATCACAACTAGATTACTGCGTCATTAACTCTTATTTCAAGTTCCTAACGTTTTGTATGTCGAACCTAATTTAGGACGACTTATCAAAATACAAGCCTCCACTGTGAAAACTACTCTACAACAACCTAATAACAATTTTATGAAATAGCAGTTATTGTAATTCAATTTAATGATTGTATATCTCTTTTCTTTGAAAAACAAAATTGTAGTGTTGTAATCTTGAAAGTAATAATTGTTTCATTTATGTTAATTTCTCATTGTAGAGTATTGGGGTCCCATGTTTCTTGGGTGGAATGTCCCGGGGACTTCTGGGAAGAAGAAGTCGTATACAAATAAGACAACAGCGTAAAGATGCTCTTAAGGAAGCTGACCTTATCATTCTTGCAGGTAAGAAATCATAATTTTTTCTAAAAAGATATCAACAGTGTTGATTTTTAAAAGATATAATTTACACTATTTATATTTGGACTATTGTCCTCATCTTTGTTTCAGCCTCCAGACTTCCTGAGGTGTATGTATATTGATCTGTATAAGCTACAGGGAATTCTAAACTGAAGGTTATCCAGATCAATATACCTCTGTGGAAATCTGGAGAGCACAACAATATAAAAATTGTGATAAAAACAACAAAGATGCAGAAAATAGTCCAAATATAAATATTGTAAATAATGAAAACTCCTCAATCCAGAAATTCTGACAGAAATTATAATTTGATATTGAATTTCTCAAACAAAACTTGTGATATTTTTAATTCTGTAATAATTATTGAAATTAGTTTTATAAATAAATAAATTTATTTATTGAATTATGAAATAATTTAAAATTTAACTTGCAGGAATTTAGAAGAATTAAAGTATATCCTACATGCCTACCATTGCTTGTAGGTAATCATTATTAATAAACAATAATTTGGACAGGTTTTCAAAGTTTCCTTTTATCTTCTTGTTTTAAAAATGTCAAATGACACTTTCATAAATTTATGGTTTAATTATGCTTGCATAGTTTTCTTTTCCCATTATATAATGTTTCTCCATATTTTTTTAACATTATTTGAATACTCAAATCTGTATAATTGCTGTTTTTAACATATTGTTATGGCTGATCCATTACTCAGCTCTTAACAAGTGTAATCCATGAAAATAAATCTCTTTCTTCAAGAACAAAGTAAAATAAATATTTAAAGCCAAAACTTTTAAATTTTAGATTATAAATTTTTTTTTAAGATAATAATACTTTATTCATACAAGCTGGGGGAGAAGAGGTGTATTAATACCTTTCCTAATGGTATTTGCATGTAAGTAAATAAAACAAACTAAACTGGAATTGAAACTTGGCTCTCCAATTAACAATTTTAAGCCATTACCCATACATCCACGTTTACAGCACATGATATTTCCAAGCAGTCACCCATCTAGGTACTGACCAGGCTGGTTGTTGCTTAACTTTAGTGATAATATGGAAACCAATGTTTCAATATAATGTGGCTGTAAGCCTGTCTTTGTTAAAGGCCATACAATGGCTTGATCAGTAATCCACAGTTTTTATGTCATATAATTGATATAATTATTTTCTCTTTAAATTCAGTGTATAGTTTAGTTAAGTTACTTCAATAATGTCAGTATAATAAATAAAAATAATTATAATTAATAAACAGTAAACATTTATTTTAGTCATCACAAATTGTCATGAACCTTGAGTTGCTTCCCTTAAAAAATAAGCCATATTTATGAAATTACTTACAAACTTTATAATTTGTCTATATCGATGTGGATAAATTCTTTTTATAAAAAATACTGTGGTTTCATTTGACCAAAGTAATTCAGTGGATCTCCTGATTATTTTAACAAAGCAAAAAATAAACCAAGAGATGATGAGCCATAACTACAAAATAATTGTCCAAAGACTTACATAGAACTTCTACCATAGACATGGTAACAGTTCATCCTCAAATTTAAAATAAATGGAAACTCATATTACTTAATCTTAACAAACTCTGTTGTAACATTAAAAAAGAGACTTACTGAAATTATATTGTAATATAGCATTAAAAAAAATAAACCGTATTTGAATTTCCTGATATTCAATTACCTCCCTTGACACCTAAAACTCGAATTTTTTGTGATGTTATATATCAACTAAACGAACTTGTCTCTCAGATTGTTTTCACTTTTATCAATTCTGTATAAATACAGCAATGAAATATTTTTACTTAATTGGGTTATGTTTGTGAGGTTAAACAAAGTATAGTTATTTTATTTTGCTTCATCATTATATGAAAAGACAAGGAAGAATAATGAGTTTGTGAATGTAATTTTTAAATGCTTTATTAGTTGCATTTGTTTCCTGGCCAAATTCTCATCAGCAACTGATGATGTCCTTAGTTGGTCACGTTTTGCAATGGGTTGTGTCTTTTCTTTAATTGTCATGTTGTCAGCACTCCAATAATTATTCTTTGGTTACACCAGATATAACTCTGAATATATTCCAATTGTGGACATGAATATTTGACAAAATGTACTTATTATATTTTTAAACTCATCTTTAAAATGTTAATCTAGATAAAAATTATATATATATATATATATATATATATATATATATGACTAGGCTGTTCCAGTACTTGAAATTTCTTTTTATGAAGACATTCATTTGTGGATTTGCTTTGATGCTTCAGGTCATTGTTCTGTTGGAAAATCCAGCCATGACCTAAACCCAATTTTTTGAATTGAGTTTAAGACACTTTCTTTCAAAATTGCTTGGTATCTTGTAGTCCATTGTGCTATCCATACATACTATTTTACCTGTTCCAGCTTCAGCAGAGTACCTCAAAATCATAATGCTGTCACCACCATGATTAATGGTTGGTATCAAATTCTTATCTTCAAAAGCCGTATTAGGAGCTCACCAGATTTACCACTTATTGTTTTTCTCAAAAAGCTCTAGTTTGGTCGCATCTGACCATAAAAGCTTTTGCCAGAATGTTTCTAGCTTATTAATATGAGACTTTGGCATAGTTGAGGAGAACATCACTTGTGCTCTTTCGTAAGCAGTGTTTTTTTTCTTTCTAAGCATTGTACTATGAAGATTAGCATTGTTCAAATTTTATTGCACTGTAGATGCATGCACATTGATTCTGACATTGGCCAGTGAGCATTGAAGAACCGCAAAGGTCACAGCAGGATTTGCCTGGACTTACTGATGTCTACTTGCTCTTGCTGTTATTTTTCAGGGATGGCCACTTCTTGATTGTGATGCCATCATATCAAAGGCCCTCCATTTATAAATAATTTGTTGCACAGTGGAGAAGTGCACTCCAAATCGTTTTGATAGCTTTTTTGTAGCCTTCTTCATCATTATAGGTTTCACCTATGCAATTTTTTAAAACTTCAGAAAGATCTTTTGATTTTTGCATATATATTGTTAAAATTTGATCTCTAACTGCACACTTTTGCATACACAATGAGTTATATTGTTTGACTGCAGTAAACACAGCTTTACCAAAATAATGAACATGTGTCATTTTGATTTTTACATGAAGGCAAAAAATTATTTGCACTGGTAACCATGTAAAACAAAAATAGAGAGTGTAAATATAAGGGTTCACTTACTTTTTGCACATCTTAATTTTTAATTTTCATTTAATATTTTTATTCCAACTTGATAAAAAAAAAATTGAAAGTGATTGTAATTCATTTAATTAATGAATATATAGTTTAATTAAGATTTGATTATCTGAAAAAAAAAAGAGACAATTATTTTAAATATGATCTTGGAGTTAACTCACTTTCGCACAGCACTGTATATTAAATCATTCGTATATATTTTATGCATAAAAATGTTTTTTCTATTATGTGTGTTGGTTTATCACAGACTTTGCAAGTTCAATTGTCCCTTTTTGAAAATCAGTTTTTCTGCAAAATGTGTTTGCTATTTAGGATGGAATTCTACATGATGTTGCCTATTTTCTCAAACTCTTCTATTGAAGCCAATCAAAAATTGCTTCTTTACACATAGTTATTGATGAACAAAAAAAGATATTTATTTACATCATTCTCAGGATTATGAAAAGAAGTGACATCCTGTACTGAATTATCACAGCACTACATATATATTCAAAATAATATAATTTAGTTTCTTATCATGTCTTCTACTGGGCTTAGATTATATGAGACTGGCTGCTGAAAAGCTAAAGCAACACAGACAACTTGAGACGTGGTAAACTTAACTATTTTATTCAAACTGCCGCTTGATTTGTTTTGCTCCCAGCATTCTCTAGTGGGACTGGAAGTGCTTACAATCATCATAATCATAATTGTTGATGTTGTTATAAACATCATGGATATATGATTAAAATATTTTCAGGATGATGGAAATGTGAGGAAACATGATGCATTGATTGATTGAACAGTTAGTGCTACTACTAGTTGAAAGTTATAAAATCTTTTTATTAAAACAGTTTTTTTAAAAAAAAAAAATCAGATTTCTCAAGTCCTCTTTCAAATATTGATGGGAATTTCCTTCCAAACTTTTTGTTTAAGGTAGTATAGAAAATCAACATTTTGATTATATCATTATTTTCTCTTCTAGTTATATATGCTACCCTATTTATTGCTTTTGAAAGTTTCAAGTGATGTGCTTTTCTAATTTGGTAAAAGTCTTGGTGATTCTGTAGCACCAGTTGATATGATCTGATGAAGGATTGTTTTCTTGAAGACCTACAGGATTTATTTATATGAAACCATTTTTAATCATTGATCTGTGAAGACACAAACACTGAAATATTAATAAATTGACCATCACTTGTTTAATAATCAGATTTTTTTACTTACAAACATGTCATTCAGAGTTATTCTTTCTTTTATGTCTTCAAAAATGTCTAGCTTATGGATATATCACATTGAAAGTTGAGCAATATCAAAGCTTGGCCAGTATCTAGATGGATGATCACTTTTGGAATATCAAGTGCTGTAAGCTTGGATGTGTGGATGGTGCAATAGATAACAGTTTGGAATTGAAAATCAGAGAGTCAAGTTCCAATTGGGTTTGTTATATTCACTTACACACAAATACCCTTGGTAAAGATATGTATTCACATCTTCTCCCCACCAGCTATGGGTTAATTAGCATGACTTGTATCAGTAAGATCATTATTATCTCCAAAACATTCTTACAATCTAAAAAATATTTTTTGCCTTTAAATAACCTGCAGAAGGTTGATAAGCCATAAAAAACAAATCATCTGAAAAACAAAAAGTTCTAATGAACAAATTTAATGGGCATAAATTAATGTACAAAGTGGCATTTGAGAAGAGATAACAATAAAGAAAAGCTTTTCACAAATTACATTTTTCGGTATTTAACAGCAAAACACAATAATACAGATTAGTACACCTGACTTTGGAAAATTTGAAATGTTTTAAGTTTGAGGAATTTAACAATGGGCCAAAAGTTACTTTCTCTAATACTTACTTTTCACTGTTTCCTTCAAAGCAGTACACTTGAGTTTATCTAGAACAATGTTACAAAAGATATGGCTTATAAAGAGTAGCAGCAAAAGTATGCTCTGTTTAATAGTTGTCAGTGGTGGATTGGTCAGGGTGTCACCTTGCCCAATAGCAAGTTGTTCCCTGATGGAGTGCCACCCACTATATCAAATAAAAATGCAATAAAGAAACAAAGTAATAAAAAGTAATAAGAACTTTATAAAATCATCTGCATACTATCAGTTATTGAAGTTGAATGTGAGAATACATTTTCAGAGTAAAAGATCATAAAGGCAAGGTTTAAGAAACTCAGTCTGAGAAGAATTTTGAATCATACATGTTGTTGCTATCCATTGTAAAGGAATTGTCAGATGAATTGAATCTACTGCCAGTAATATGTACAATACATGTACACTGTAATTACTAAGAAATATACATTTTTTCCACAAAAATTTTAATTGTACTCTTTTTTTCCATATGTATTTTTATGAAAATTTTATTTATTCATTATGAAAAATTGCATGTGGTCCACTCTATTACTCTTAATAGAGTGGACCACATGCAATGCTCTATTGTGCTTTTGAACTATCTGTCAATGTCTAAATTGTGCAGTAAACTATTTAAAATATAAGCCATTATTTAAAATTAAAAAAAAATCAATAAAAAATTCAATTATAATATTATGTATTTACATTTGTATTTTTATGAAAATTTTATTTATTCATTATGAAAATTAAATGATGGCATTGTAGTTGTGTGTGGGACTTCTTTGTCTCCTGGTAACCAATATTTTTAGACCCAGTCCCCCACTAGTAGTTAATTTCCAATGATGACATTGGTCAGTGTTTGTTAAGATAAAAGTTCTTTCCACAGACCCTAATTTCTTGTCAATATCTCCATCTTTGTTTATTTAGGCATGTATTGAAATATGAATTTATAAATATAAATCAATAGAATCACTTACCAACATGATTCAATATTTTGTTTTTGGTAACTGAAAAACCTTGTCTGTTGGCAAAATTTTCTGTGAGAAAAAGAAAATGAGTTTTCTCCTTATAATTTTGAATGGTGAAATATCTCAATGAAATAAATTCATTTATTCAGCTTTTAATAATGATAGAAATTATTTAAGAATTCACCCATAATATCTGGTGTCCTTTAAACTTTGAAGTATTTTTCCTACTAAGCAGAATATGATTTGTAATATTAGTGCCATCATCAAAAATTCCTGTTTACAAGCATTTAATAAAATTCAGTAGAAAGAAAACTTACTGCTTTAAATACATGACATATGAAGAGGTGCTGAAAATTTTTTAATCTGTTTTACTTCCCAAAATCTGAACAAATAGCAGAAATACTTTTGAATTCCTTCTTTGTTGGATTGAGAGTTTTTCATCCCCCTCCTGTTTGCATGTGTGCATATTTGGGTGATTTTTTTTTTTTTTTTTTTTTCAGTTGAATGACAAATTTTATCAATGGTGTCAGTCTTACATATATGGGAAGTGGGAGAAATACAACAAGTGTCAGTTACAATTTTAGCACTAAAGATTACAGGGACACTTAGCTTTAAATTTTTGATGTTTGGTGTATTGAGATGCATAAAACTATTATTAGTCTGAAGAAAATCCTTCTCAGCACAAAATGCATTACTTGGGAGTTTTTCATTTTTTTGTCATTCAGTTACTTGCTCTTAGTCTGGTATAAAGATTTGTTTTTCATATCTTACAATACCTGTGAATTCAAAATCGTGATAGATTATAGTAACTTTTATAAAAAAAATTATATATAATTAGTTTTTATTTCTTCCCTTATATATATATATATATATATATATATATATATATATATATATATATATGATTTTGTCAATAAAATCATTACTTTAGTCTGAAGTCCTTCTAGAGCAGTAATTCCCAAACTGTGGAATGATTGAAAGACAAAATATTTAGAAACAATTTCAAAAAATTCATATATCAAAAATAAATATGATTTCAAAATTTAGATTATTATTATGGATTACTCGTAATTGTATGCATGAGTCCCAGTATAAATAGTTATGAATAATTATTGACTGATTTGATCATTGTCATCTATTTGCATTATATCAAGTATTAAGAATGTAGTAATTAGGGTCTGCAAATTGGAAGAGAGAATTATCAAAGAATTATCAATGTTCTGACTTCGAATCTGCGGTTATCTCCCTTTAACCCTCTCTCTCTCTCTCTCTCTGTTTTTTATTTTTAAATGTACTTTCTATCATATAAAATTTGGTGAGGCACGAGCAAATTTTCATTCTGGAAAAGTTTGGGAATAACTGTTCTAGAGGATGAAACACATTACACATAATTTTTCCACCTTGTCATTCAATTGCTTGTAATTATTTGAACAATATAAATGGAATATAAAATAAAATATAAATGGAATTCACCTTTTAAGAGTAAATGAAAATAATAATAATGAGAAATTATGAAGCAGAATAAAAAGCTCTATGTATATTGATCAAAGTTGGAATTATTACAAACAAACAAACAAACATTTAAATATAACAGTGGGCTTTTAATAGCAGGGTTCAGCAGGATTGTTTTGTTAAATATATTGCTGCTTGAAATAATCTTTTCCATAATTAGGTATTTTGCATCTCAATCTAAATATTTTGTGTGAGGCAAATATAATGCCCTTTTTGTTTACTAACTTTCATTGAACAAAAATAAATTACAGTGGTTTATGAAAATTTATAAGTATTGTCACATCAAAACAGCATGATTTGTTATGATTAACAAGCTATTTAACATGTTCAAAATGCTCCCCTTCAGTTTCAATACAATATTTGAATCCTACCTGCAACACTTCTGCAAACCATTTGACATATTTCTACATTAATTTCAGAAAATTTATCAACAATTGCTTGTTTTAATTCAGGAATTTTCAGTGCACCTCACAAGGAAAAGTTTGGTGGTTGCTCTACTGATTGTAATGGCTTTGCATTGTCCTATCCCCACTCAGCTCAAAAAAGAAAAAGAAAAAGAGTATTACTTTTGGTACACCCTATATGTGTGAATATATTGAATCACAGCAGGTGAAAATTATTGTTTTAAGAAATCTTATTGAAAAACAAATTAAAGCAAATTTTACCTTAAATGAATGTTTAATAATGTTTCTGTGATCCAGGAACTGTGTGTGATTTTCGTCTTGGATATGGACGTTCCTTAAACAAAAGAGCAAAAATTATTGCTGTGAACCGAAGCAAAGAACAATTAATGAAGGTAATCAACATGTATCCTTTATTTTCTATTTATTATTTGGATGATAGCTATGTTATCTAGTAGGGGGTTAAATAAACTCTATGAAATCATCATTAACTTTTACTGGTATGTTGTACTCAAAAATCAGAATAAATTGTAAATAAAGTGAAAATAATTTTATAGTAATATTCAGGATACTGATATTTTCTCTCCATGTTTTTTTTTTAAGTATTTCTCCCCAAGCAAGGGTATAAAGCCACTAAGACACATGGCTTTACGGAGTGTGAGAGAATATGAGAAAACAAAATATTATTAAGGACAGGGAAGAATAAAAGAACAGGAAGATGGAAGATAACAATTGATATTGCATTTAAATTTAAAAAAATATTATTTGAAATGCCATTTTAGTCATTGTATATTGGTTAATTTGAACCTTTCACATACCTGCCTTTCTAGAGTGTGTGTGTGTGTGTGTGTTGTGCTCTGAGTAACCACGCCCTTCTCTCCTTGAATACAAAGAACATCATGTGTCTTTGTATCCTTCAAGATTATTTCTCACCTCTTAACATATGACCTTCCAGGAAATCTGGTTAACTTTAAAAGAATTCCTATTTCTTAGGTCATACTTCTGGAACTACAAATTCCCAAATTGCTCTCTCCAAATTAAAATGGCTCTCACAGGTTCCAAAAGCATGACCCAAGAAATGGAATGTTGGAAAAGTTCTTTGGAAGGCCACAGGTTCAGTGCAGAGGTCAAGACAACCACTCCAAGAACCCACCAGGTACCAAATTTGATATGAATAAGAACATTCCTCTTTAGAATAAAGTTTTATATTATAAAATATACCACACCCTGTCATGAATGTAGTAAACAACCTCAAATTAACCTATATATAATGATTAAGGTAAAAGCATTAAGACATGTTATATTGAATCCATTGCTATGTCAGCTACTAAGAAAGTTGGTTCACTGTATTGGGCAAGACAATTTTCTCTCAGGAATCTATCATACATATCTATGTCTACCATTCATCCATGCTTAGAATATTGCTGCCACATGTGGTCCATTGCCCCTGCTATTTACTTTGAGCTCCTTTATAAAATCTAAAGAAGAATCAACAATATTATTAGTCCTGATCTGGCAGCTCGGTTTCAGTCACTTTCCCACCAGCATATGTTTGTCTCTCTGTGACTTTTCTATAAATACTTTCATGGTAATTGTTCATATGAGCTCTTTGCCATGGTACCTAGACTTTTTGAATTTAAGTACAGCACTAGACTGGTATCAAGATCTCATCAATTTACAGTTGAGCTGGCTAGATGTAACCGTAAGTTCTATGCTAACGGTTTCTTTTCTCACACTTCTCACTTGTGGAACTCCTTTCCAGCCAGCTTTAATCTGCAAAAATTTAAATGCAATGTCAATCACTATCTACTGTCCTAATGATTACTCTTTCCTCTTCCTGCTCATTATTGATGTTTTTGTTCCTAATATTTCCACACCCTGTAACCACTTGTGTTTTAGTGGCTTTACTACCTTGCATTAGGGTGATGCCAATTTTAAAAAAATTAAATAAATTTAATTAGTTTTACAAAATTTACTTGACCTTATGATGCAGTAAGCATAGAATAAAAAGAATTGACAAATTTAAAAATGTTGATAAATTTGTTGCAAATACAATGTTTGATACAAATATAAATTTTTCTTGTTGTATTATAAGTAATGGTAAAAAAAAAAACAATTTCTTGTTCCTTATAAATGAAGCAAAGGAAAGCAAAGTTCTGTTTTTTTCAATGGAAAGCATTTAAGGTAATGTCACAATATAATTACATGTAACATTTACTAAAAACATGTGTTTAACTTGTAGTATTATAAAGATAGGGATGATGACAGTTATTGGCATGGCAAATGAAACCAGCCTAAAATTTGGATTCCAGTCTAGTCACAATGTCTTTGAGAAAGGTATGAACCTACCTCTTTTCCACAGCTATGGATTAAATAGAAGGGTAGACTTGGCTATCTAGCTTTGGGTTAAAGCCAATCTAGAGAAGGATTACTCTGAATTCAAAACTGTGGAGAAGTCAACAGGAAACCATTGTACTATCTTTTCTAAGATGTGAAGAAGAAAAAAAATCTGTGGAGAGCTATGATGACCTATATCCTGAAGAGAAATGACATTTAAAAATAACAACAAAGTAACATTTGCAGTGAAGATTTTACCACAGGAACTCTTTGCCTAAAATGGTTATCTTTGTAAATTAATTGCTGCAGTTGCCAAATGTAGCATTCTCTGGAAGAAGACCTTTTCTTGAAATAGGATTAAGTGCTAATCAGTGTGAAGTCTTGCATGAACCAGAATAACTCTGTTATTTCAGTAGTCTAATTGGCTCTTCATTTCAAATGATTGAAGTCACTTTGTGCTTGCAGCTTTTGCTTTTTTTTTAATAATTAAAGGGTCAGTGAAATCTGAATGGTTTAATTTTTTAAAGTCATTAGTTCAGCTCTGAGGACTGAAACAAGAGTAATCCTCATACTTTATAGATGTATTTTTAAGAAGCCTTTGAGAGAATTTAGGGTTATAAAAAGGATAGATTGATTATGTTTTATATACTATTACAGTTTGTATGTTTCTAATCTCTTACTCTGAAATTTGGCAATTCCCAAAGGCTAGCATGATTTTAAATATACTGCAATTAGTTTGTGCATCTGTCACTAGAATTCTTCAATTTCAGATTGCAGTTTTGAACCATAATTTAATGATTTATAAACTCACTGGTTTAGCCAAATGTGTAAAAGCCAAACCATGATTTGAAACTGAATTGAAGAACTCTATATTTTATAATTTTTGATATTTTCAATTACATATGTATTTATTAATTTTATAATTAATTTTAACATTTTATAAATTATCCTTTAGTAAGATCAATTAAAATGCATTAGAAAACTCAATATTTATTTATTAAAATATAATTTTTATTATACAAGTTATTTTTAAAATAACTTGTTCTATTTTCCACACTACTAGTCAATGTGTTAAAATCCTGAAACTGCTAAGGTTTATGTAATGGTTTTAAAAAAAAAGCATCGACAATTAACACTCTTGCTGCTGTTGACATATTTATATTTTCATGTAACTTACACTGTGTAGGAGAAGCAATAGGTCAACTCAGGGAGTGAAACCTAAAAGGTTCCAGGAAGTGTAGTGGGATTGGTTAGGCTAATACTAATTAGCATAACCATACCACTATATATATATATATATATATATATATGAGAACTCGAGATAGAGGGGAAGAGAAAGTCACTTGTGATGACTACTACTACAATTGTGCATGTATGAACTTCATAACACACTGCCTGCTATTGATATATATATATATATATATATATATATATATATATATATATATATACACGTGTGTGTGTGTGTTTTTTAAGATGTATTTATGCATTTTATAAAACTTGCATTGCCTACTTTCAATATATATATATATATATATATATATATATATATATATTCATAACAATTTTATATTCTTCTTAAAACATACCAGTACAGCCATGCTATAAGAATGCAGCAGTGAAAATTCAATAAAGCTAATACTTAAAATACAAAGTAAAAGAAAATCTAATTTCTTAAAGCCAAAACTATTTTTAAAATTTAATAGAATAAAAAAATAAAATGTAATTTCTATTTTTTGGCAGTTTATATGTTCTGGAAATTAAAAGGTTAGCTGTATGTATCTTATTTGGGTTATAAAGGTAATTGACTTGCCTGATGGATTCAATGTTATGGTTTGTAATTATCTGAAATTCGTATTTAGCCAATATCTCCAGTAGCCAAATATTCAATTTTTTATTTGACGTCTGGAAAGAAAATTTAATTTATTTATTTTAAATTATATTTATTTCATATTTTGAAAATCTGGAAAGGAAATCCCTATGTCATTTTAAGAATTTCTGTTTTTAAAATCAGAATTATTCTTTTCCACCTCCAACAAAACAAAAATATGTTACATGTGGTTGAAATGTAATAATAGGAGTGAATTTTGGGTACACAAAAAATGGATAGGTGAGAATTGCAAGTGAACAGAAATATGTTCTATGTTTGTTTTGAGATTAAAAGAATTTAAATTCATTAAATTTTTAATTCAAACAAAATTGTTCTTTTATTCAACTTTAGTTCAGGAACCATTCTTAGCTTTCATTTCCACTCATTGACTATATAAAATATGACAAATAAAGAAAAAAAATAGAAAATTGTACTTTTGTATTAAAAAAAAGATCTTAAAGAAAATTAGAAAATAAATCTAAAAGTTTATGGATATTGGAATGAAATTAATTATAACAAGAAGGAAATCTTATTCTAGATTGCAGTCATTTTCTTCTTTCATTTTGGTCTGTTTCAATGACTGTTATACATAATTCCTTGGAATAGTATTTCAAATCTTTTAATTGCTTTCTCATTTACTACTGGGATATATCTGTTTATTTAAGTTTTTGTTTGTTAAATACTAATTGCCTTTCTTACAGAATTCTGATATGTTCTGGAAACCTACTTTGGCAATTCAAGGAGATGCTGCAACTCTTATCAGCCAACTTTCAGAGAATCTAAGAGGCTATAAATGTGATCCGGAATGGTTGGCCACTTTGCAACAAAGGGATATAGACAAAGAAAATGCTAATAAGTAATAAAGTTTTATTCTGAGTGTTTTCTTTTTTTTTTTTTTTTTTATAGTTACAGTCACATCTCTTAATAATAAAGATTTAGTTTAGGACTAAAACCAGAGAAATTTCATCAGTTGTTTGCTGCTTATTAGTTTGTGAAATTCTCATTATTTTTATCTACTGGAAATCTTAGGTGATGCCCGAGGACATAGTAACATATACTGGCAGCCTTAGATGATGCCCGAAGACATACTTCCACATTGCTGGCAATCTTAGGTGATGCCCGGGGACATACTTTCAATACTGGCAAAATTTGGTGATGCCTGGACAATGTTAAATTCTGCATTCTTTCAATAATTATATCTTTTAACAGTTTACCAGTTTTTAATCCAAATTAAGATTTTATAAACTTAAAAATACATTTGCATAGAAAACATGTAACAGGACAGAAAGATTTTTAAAATTTTATATAACAGTGGTCAGTATTTTGCATTTCTAAATTCCCTGTTCTTCATTTAAAATAGTCATGGTAATATTAGCCGTTTCTTTGTAAGGAAAAATTTAGTACTGTCAGTTGAAATTTATAAAATTTTTCTCTTAAAACAAATTTTTATGAAAATTCCACTATTGATGGAGGTTTTCTTCCTAACCTTTTGTTTGAAGTAGTGTGGAATGTCAACATTTTGGTTATATTATTTTTTCTTTCATTTTGATTGTCTTTATTTTCTCATTTGTTATCCATTTTAGTTGTTGCTGTTGAAAGTAGCTTTTGTGATTTTCTAACACCAGTGTCCACAATGTTTGAAGAAGGATGGTCCTCACTGAGACCTACAGGTTTCATTCAATCAAAGCCATTTTTAACCATTGTTCTGAGAATAAAGTGGTTGTATACAGTTGATAATTTAGATATTTCTGAACAAGTCTGACACCATGCATGACATCTATATGAAAGACAAGACTATTTATGAACAAGATTTGAATTAAGATTTATTAATTACTAAGATCAAATTTCAAATATCTCCTCATATTATTAATCACAATATTTCTTTCAGAAAAAAAGGAGAAGAAATCACTGATCAACATCTAAATCCAATCAAGATTTTACATCTCACAGATGAAATTATGGCTGAAGATAGCATTATTGTTGCTGATGGTGGGGATTTTGTGGGTACTGCAGCTTACATACTCAGGTAAGTGCTAAAGTTCCAAGTACCTTCTAAACAAATTAAAATGAGTTTTGAGTGTTCATTTATCCTGTGTTTGAGAAACAGAAATGGTGGCAACAAAAGACATTCTTAACACTATATTGTTCCTATTTAAGTTGGGAAAGATATAGAAGCAAGAGTTAACATGTTTTGATTGGAAGTAGTACATGTAAAAAGCTTACAAAATTGAAAAAAAGATGAATTTGAAGGACAAACTCCACAGCAGCAGACCACAAGAATTTGTTCCAAGCTCTTTTGAATGGAGCCAAAACATTCAATAGTGAAATTAGTTTAAACCTTTGGCATCAATTAATCAACAATTGAAAGAAATTAGCAAAGTATGAGGAAGATTCTAAAAGTGGTAAAAAGGTTTCTATATGAATTGGTATGGCAAAGCCTTCAACAGTGTCTCACTATCTGAATTTCACTTGCTGGACAGGAAAAAATATTTTTTGTGAAAGATTGTCACTGGAGGTGAAAAATGAGTTTAACTATAATAAATTGAAATGTCAAAAATCAAAGGGTAGTTCAGGATGGCCTGCAGAATCAAAAGCAAAACTTTTTGAAAAAAGTTATTGCTCTGTATTTGATAGGATATGAAAGGTGTGTTGTATTATGAATTGCTGAAACCTAATGAAAACTGTTATTGCCGAACATTACAGTTATCACCATCAAAATCTGATTGCAGCTGTTAAAGAAAAAAGGCTATTCATAGGATAGAAAAGGCAGGAAATTATTTTGCTGCATAAAAAAAAACTATAATGGAGCTGGGATGGGAAAGTCTTTCTCATGAAGTATATTCACCAGACTTGGCACCACCAGGTTACCATTTATTTTGATCAGTGCAGCATTCCTTATCATATCAACAATTTAAAAGTGTCTTCAGTGTTCCAAATTTCATTGGCAATTTTATTGTATAAAAAACAGAGTTGTTTTATTAAATTCAAAATCTTTTGGAACATTGGTATTTAATGGTTGGGAAAAATTCTCAAAATAATGGAATTGATGAGAATGCTAGGAGTGGCAAATAGACAAATTCCTGTAATCTTCTAAATTAATAAATGACAAATTCTGTCTGTTCATCCATGTATCTGAAACTCCTCTTACTGGGACCACACTTGCTCAGACACATACCTTTTTGTAATCAGGATGATCCCTGGATTGAAAATCTGCCCATTTAGCCCTCTGCTGGAGCTAGCTTAAAAATCAGCACAGAGTGTGGCTTTTAAGATAGTTTGCAATAAAAGGAACTTGGTTAATTTGAACTTTGACATATTAATAGACATTTTAATAAGGTTGACTTTACTAAAACATTTTGACATTACAATAAGTATTTGTCTTGTTCTGTTTTTTTTTTTCACTGCCTTTTTTTCTAAACAGTCTTTCTATACCTTTTCACTTCTATTTATTTATTTATTCATTCATTCTATTATTTTTCAATGGTTTTTTTTCCTTCTAGCCCTGGGTATGACAATAAACTACAAGGCCTCTGATTGAGAAATTGGAGGTTTTGAGGCATGTGGAACTACCTCTTAATTGCTGTTGTTCCCAGGTCCACCCTGACCTGAGATAGTTAGGGAAAATAATGTTTTGATTTTTGTTTGGTGGTCCACTAAGTAGAAAAATACATTATACTAAAAATACCAGCAATATATTTATCATTTTAAAAAAAAAGAGTAGTAATACATTTTTATAGCAAAATAATAATCAATACAGGACTAAAGTATAAAAATACATTTTTATAGCAAATTACCAGCAATAGATTATCTCCAAACTATATATGTAAACATAGGTTTCCCTGAAAGTATAAAATTATGTACAAAATATCTAGTTGAAGCATAAAATTGTGTACAAGATATTTAAATTTCAGCATTAAATAATCCACAGAGGTGCTGACATGACGCTAAAGAAAAACCGACCGACCAATCTTTTTTTTTCTTCCATATCTTTCCATCATTCATTTTCTTGTTTTCTTCCTTTAAAATCTTCAACTACTCTTATTTTCACCTTATATCTTTCATGTTATGTCATGAAAATTTTTTGCCTTTTTCTTCTCTCTCCTTTAATTAGACCCAGAGGTCCACTAAGATGGTTGGATCCAGGTGCCTTTGGAACTTTAGGTGTTGGAGGTGGTTTTGCTCTTGGAGCCAAAATATGTCGACCTGAGAGTGAAGTGTGGATCATTTATGGCGATGGATCACTTGGGTTTAGTGTGGCTGAATTTGACACATTTACACGTCATAAGGTAAACACATTACATTTCCTTTTCTTTTCTTTTTTAAAGAGTATCACTTTCTTTCACTAATATTTTGAATATTAATTTTCGTATTTTATAATATGGCCTTTTTCAAAGGCAAATTTACTTGATTGTTTTCTTCCATTTTGAATGCTTGTGGAAATAAACGTATGAAATATGGCTCCAGATTTCTATATATATGGTTGTAAATTTTTATAAAGAAACAATTCAATAGTAAAAATGTTATATTTCATGTCTAGTATATAACATATTGTTTGATTAACATTCTGTTATTTATATTTGAATTCATATATATTGTGACAACGCAAGTGGATGGATGAGAGAAAAAAAATCTACCATATATCAAACAGGTATCACATTAAAATATAGATATGTCTGCACACACACACTCATTTTTATATTTTACCAAATATAAATGCATTTTAGACAACTAGAAAGGCTGCCCTACTGAAGCCCAGTCACATGAAGCCTCACCTGCAACTCACCCATCATCATCATCAAGAAGCCTCAAAATTGATGCCTTTGTAAAATAAATGAACAAGCAGGTAGATCTATATTTCAGAAACATTACACAAACCATTCACAATCTGGTTGGAACTTCAAAATAATCTGCAGGTACTTGATACAGAAGTGTGCAAGGATATTTACCAAGTATAAATGCCTTACGCAGGCCACAGTACTGATGCCTAGTCACAGGAAGCCTCATCTACAGCTTGTTCATGATCATCAAGAAGCCTGCTTCATTCTGGAATAAAATATAGTCTAGAAAAAACTAAAATTGAATGTTTTGATGTAAACATTGTGAGGCATGTCATGAAAAAGGTTGTCACCTCTTCTCATCCTAAAATATTATCTCAACTATTAAAACAGTGTCATGGAAGTATAAGAATTTGAAGTTGTTTTCCCTCCCTTCTAAAGGTTCATTACCTATTAAAGGTACATTGAATAGTCCTGATTATAACAAAATACAGAACATCATGCTATTATCTGTGAAAATTTCTTTAACTACTAAGAGGTTAGATTTTTCAGCAAGATAACAGATCCCAAACATACTGCAGTGAAAGTTGTTTTCTCTTTATACATAGTATATCTTAAGTAAGTAATATATACAGATGATGTTTTAGGTTAGCAAAAACAATAGGTATTATTATTTTCTTAAAAAATCCTGTATGACTCCCTATAACCCACACTCTCTCTATTCACACATTCCACTCACATCTAGCTCCATTAAGTAATACCAACCTTACAGGTCATCCAACTTTCTTTTTCCTCCTTGTTTGGGGCTACTGGGTTATCTCAATAGCGTTGGTTTGGGTTTCCCAAAATATTATGATATTGGGATTGACAATGAAGTCTAGGGTGAATCCCTCTATGTACATTGTGTATTGTAGTTAAGGAATAATTCTCAACTTATAGCCATGGTAATTTTTGTCTCTTTGCAGGCAACTTTGGAATAAAAACTTTTTCAATGAAATGCTCAACACTGTCGATAAGTCTATAAAGAAAAACTGGTTGAATAAAATGTTTTTATTATCTACCGCAAAATCAAGTTCCCTACTATTAGATGGTGATTTGAGAAATTGAGTTGCAAATGCTAAAGTAATAACCACCCTGTTGACTCATTCAGTTCTTTTGTTGTGTGTGTCTGCTTTTGTTTTCACTGGTGATGTAGTTGTTGTGTTCATTATATGACATTTTTATGTATGTATTGTAAGTATTGACTTTATGGTGTCTGTTTGCATTTGGTTCCTGAAATGTTAGTGTAATGTCTATTAAAAAATTTGGTAGAATAGTGTGTTTTAATTGGATGATAAATGACAAAATTTAGAAGTAAATACATAATACTAGGTAATATCAATTATCCTCATATATATTATGTGTGTGTAATAATCATATATATAGGGAGAGGGAGGTCAGTAGGCATCTATTTATCTTGCAAAATAAAAGTAGCAGCCTGTTTGGTCAAAATTCAGTTCTTTGGTAGTGAGTCTGGATTGACCTCTCCTGGGCATAGGCATGGGCAATGGTATATAAAAATATGCACTGCCCAGGCTACATACACCCCCTACTTGGTCATACCAACATTATCTAAAGGAATACAGGGCATTACATTTGAGGCCAATTTGGCTGCAAGTTGTCAGTGTCAACAGGTAACTGCCTTCAGGGCTTCACTCCAGGTTTTCTGTCTGATTAACTTCCATAGCCTTTTCTATGTTTGGATATGACTACAATACAGTGGAGGTTTAAAAGTGGGATTTTCCTTCCCTGAGATAGAATGCCTTTCTGGGCTGTTGAGCTCCATCTATCCAAAGCACCTAGTTATGAGGCATCGGTCGTTCACCTTCACACATTCTCTGACTTGGAGCTGGACTTAGTTGTCAGAGGCTATTTGAGACAAATGTCACCGAAGCATTTTATAGACAGTGTGAACTTGTCTGCAGTATCACCCTGCCAGCTAGCCTATGATAACCATTATTTTATATAATGTTATATATATATATATATATATATATATATATATATATATATATATATGGAAAGCTGATCAAACGCATCTTCAACAACTGATTTTAACCACAAAAATTATGGTTTATAAGGCTGTTGTCATTTCAAATTTGCTATAGGGTTATGAAATATAGAGGCAATCAAATGTTTAGTCACAGTGATGAGCTGTGAAACAGTCAGTCTGTGGATGATATATATATATATATATATATATATATATATATATAGTTCTTTTTGGTGTGCTCTCATTTCCAATTACTGTTACATGATGTCACCACAGACTATTTCAAACTTCCACCTTTCAAAAGAATACCAAAGGAATTATGCTTACTACACAGGCACCATTGGTTCTTGAAAATGACTTAGTTGATCAAAAGTACTAAAAAAAAAAAAACAAAGAATGAACATCAGACAGTTTATCTACAATTTTGAGCACAATACTCGATACCTTATTCAAAAATTGTAAATTACAATAAAAAATGAAACAGATAGACCCTGTCAGTTTTTTATTCAAATTTGTTTGGTTACTGATATATGCTGATAAGTGGACCAAATAATTATACAAAGGTTCATTCATGAAACTCCAGAGTAGTTGTGCTGAATCTAACATCAGTCAGCTAAGTGACAAATTTTATATTTGTATTAATATATATAATGTGTGTGTATTATTCATCTTATTTTGAGTTTACCATAGTTTGAATATTTTATAATCGCTTTGTGAATTTTTTTTTAGCTTCCTGTAATTGCTTTGGTCGGTAACGATGCAAGTTGGAGTCAAATTGCCAGAGAACAGGTTCCAATGTTTGGTAGCAGTGTTGCATGCGACCTTTCTGTAAGTAGACCTTTCCAGAAGACTTTCACATAAATGAAATATTGCTTTTGACATAAACAAAATCTGTTAATTCTTCATGATTTAGCTGAAAACTTTTATCTACCCTGTGTTATGGGATAAAAAAAAATTATATTTGAAATACATTTTCTTAATACTTTTATTAATCAGACTTAATCTGATCACTAAAATATTATTGGTCAAATTCATTACTTCGGTCATTTCTGTACTTTAGTTGTAAATATGGCTGACATTTAAAGGATTATAAATGAATTTCCTTGTCTTTATCATCACTACATTATTTGCAGCTTCTCAACTTAGGAATAATTTCCGAGAACAATATATCTAAAGATGGTAATGTTTAACCTTTGTGAGTGTAAAAAAAAACAGTGTCTCTTATTCCCTTGTCATTGCTATCACTTTATATACTTTTGACTCCCTCAGCAATATTTATTGACAAGATTATAAAAATATGTGAACCAAATACAATGCGATATTTATTATTTACCAATTTTATAAAGAAATACATTTGAAAAATCTTATTCAAAAATTTATAAAAATTTACAAAATTATCAAAATATATAAACCAACTTCAATACAATATTTACCATTTTATAAATAACTATAGAACAAGAAAATTTGAATAAACATGACAAATTAAAAGAATGTTTGGTTCAGAAGAAAGGTTTTCTTGACCTATTCTAGTGAACTTATATGGCTAGAGGAAATGAAAAAAAAAATGTCTATAAAATGCATTTTCATATTTCTTTCTTTATAAAATGATAAATAATAATTATTGCATTGTTGTTTCACATGTTTTTATCTTGTAAATATAAAATTATTCTTGTAAATAGTCCATCTAATAGTGTTTAATATTTAAATTCTCAAGAACAAAAAATGTATACATCCACTTTTATATATTTGGGTTTTATTAAAATGTTAATCATTGCTTTTTAAAACAATAAACCTTGCTGAGAGCATCAACAGTGTGTACAGTAATAGCGGTGTCAAAGGAATAACCTTCCTTTTGACACACTGTTTTTTTTTTTTTACAAAGGTTAAACATTGGCCTTAAGTTATTATTATAAAGAGTATAGGTGGATGGGCAGTTAATGTAACAGTTATTATGTTAAATGGCAGGGAAGGCTGAGTTCTCTTGCCTTCTGTGGCAGCCAGTCTAGGAGAAGGGAAAACTGAATTTAAACCATGTCTATCCATTGAAGGTCATGTTTAAGTACTTGTGCTGTCCTTAGGCTTTGGCATTATTTCTAAAGAACAAAACTTGAAGAGAGTTGTTTGGAGATTTCTTAACATACTGTACGCTATCTCTAAAAAAGTGTAGCTGGTTCTATAAAATCCTTCACCCCCATTATAATCAAAATCGTCTGCATGAAAAATCTTACAGTTCATTTCTAATATATGAACTGCTTTGCCCACATACACTGAAATTGATGATTCCATCATTATTATAAAATCTTTATTTTTCAAAACAATTACATAAAAATGCCTGCAAAAAATATCCTTAGTTTATATTTGTTGATTTAGTGAAAAGAAATAATTTCTTGAATGTAAAATATTTAAGAAATTTGTAAATGTTTCTTAAAAGTCAATTCCAAAAATAATACAGTAAATATCAGCAGAATTAATGTAAAATTTTCAGAACAGCCACTCAGTTTAAAAATAAATAATAACGGACATCTATAATGGAGCTATTAAAATAAACTGAACATTTTGTCTCAAATTTTTTATTGATCATGATGGTAATTTGAGTAGAATTACAAAATTTTCTTCTATGAAATTTGTTTAAGGTTATATATGACAAAATGGTTAAAATATTTTTATAAGTCTCTTTCTATATCAGTTTATGGAGAGAAAAATGTTCTTAGACTGACCAAAAAGTGATTCCATAAAAAAAAAATTGATGTTCAGTCGTTTGGTCAGATTTTGGGAGGTGGGTCAGATTGAGAACCTTACAGCACTTTTATATATTCTCAAAATGCAGTTGTCATTTAAAGTTTACTTTTATATTTTTCTGGCCATATTATTACACTTTTTTTTTATCTCTCAACTTAGAAGTTTTATCTTTTATTTACCTAAGTATTTTAACTTTTTTTTCAGTTTCTTTCCTACCAAACTGTTGCTGGTGGATTTGGTGGTAAAGGTTATCAACTTGACCGATCCAATGGTGATAAGACAGTTGAGATAATCAAACAAGCTCAGTCAGATTGCAAAAATGGATGCAGTGTTTTAATCAATGCCTTAATTGGGAAGACAAACTTTCGAGAAGGCAGTATATCTGTATGAAATATGATGGCTTGAATCATACTGTTTGTTATATGATCATTTTTATTCTACATGTCATCAGAATTTGTCTTTATGACTTTATATTTACTCTTTGCAACAAATAACTTGGAATTGAATGCTGGCTATCAGTTGTGGATGTGCAGGTGGTATAATGGATAGTTGTCCAGAATGAGAAATTATTCACTTAAATGTTAATACCCTTGGATTCATCTCTTTCCTTCAGCTATGGGTTAAATATTAAGACTTGTGTCTGGAAAAAATCATTGTTATTCTCAAAAAATTCTTAATGCAATATTTAATCATAAAAAAAGAATTATTATTGCTATCCAAAATATGTTCTGACTTTAAATAACTCACAAAGGGTTGATAAGTTGTAAAAAACAAATCAGTCAATCAGTTGGCTGTTAGTTTAATTAGGTTGAAGGCCATGCAAAATTAAAAAGATTGAGAATCATTTTGTTTTAAACATGAAAAATATTAACTACTTTCTATCAATAAATTTGAGATATATATATATATATATATATATTAAAATGATAAGAAAGAACTATAAGATTTATAATCCTATGTTCTTAGCAATTATTTTTATTTTTAAATTTAAATATTAGAAATATTACTTACTCATAATTAGATGACCCCTTTTAGAAAATCTTTGTGTATAAAAATAAGCGGATAAATAAAAATGCCCCAATTTTTTTTTGTCATTGAAACCCAGATGACACGCTGAATAACGGATGCCTATGTTTGTGAGCAGACACCCCCATCCTACCTAAACTTAACTGGACCTTGTAAGTAAAATATATTTGATACATAAGTTGTCTAGGGAAATTAAAACCCAACCACCTCTAATCAAAATAGATTGAATTTTCCTTAACTTTAACAACTCAAAGTATTAAGATTGTGCTAATAAATTAAGTAAATTTCTTAGAAAGTTATTCCTAGCATCGCTTGACAATGGAACAAAACTCTGGATTTTAAGTTTAATTTTCATAATTAAATTTACAATTTTAGTTTCAGTTTTGAAACATAAAAATTTCTGTGTTGTGATGAATCATATTTTTAAAAAAAGAAAATAATTATAAAATAATTATATTAAATGAGATATATCTCAATTAGTAATAATGGTGGTTAGTGCTTTTTGCAGATGAAATTCCTCAACTTATGTCAGAATAATTTATATCAATCTAATTTCATAGTATGGATCAGTTTATAATATAGACATAACTTTTTGTAAAAGAAAAAAAGTAAATATTTTCACACATTATAATCTGCATCAACCTGATATTTTTTTTTATGTTATATAATATTTGAATAGAAACAATATTTGTACTTTTTTTTTTTTTTTTTTTTTTTTTTTTAATGAGAATTTCTTGAAATGGATTGTCTGTAACTTTGCAAAAGAGTCATTAACATATTCAGATCCTCCTCTTTGTTTTCCATCACATTTTGGCAAATCCCTTCTTCAGTTTTCATCAATTTCGATCTAAGAGAAAAATTACAGCTGATGAGATCTGGGAACTGGGTTATTTGCAGCATTTGGCTGAACAGAAGCAAATTCAAAGAAGCGGCTCATGTGTCCGAACACAATCTTTAATATGTCAACTGAGTGTGCTTTATCTACTCTAAAATATTGTGTTCATTAATGCTAGTTTCATTAGAATATTTGGGGTGAGGAATTATCATCTTATATATTTCGCTATTCAGGCCAACACATTCATCTTGGTTGTTATACACACAATGTTTTAGCCTTTATATTCTCTGATCATCTTCAGGTGTTTGCTGTTATAAATGTTTCGGCATTTCACATCAAGCCCTCTATTCAATCTACCACAAAGGTAGATTGCTTAGGGAATAATTTTGATCAGTGAATATTTGCCAGTCTTATTCACCTTTGTGTTTCTTACACATTTCTTCCACCAAACCAGTAGAACTCCTTCCCAAACAATAATTTTGTTCAAAATTAAACTAACCATAGGAGAATGCCATCAGAAACACCAAACTAGGATCTGTATTGGATATACTACTATAACCCATTCATATATCCTAAAAAGGAAAGATCCTCCAGTATTTGATGCTTGCCAAGAGCCATTCAACATAAAACACATACTGATAAACTGCAGCAATTTTAATTCAATCTGCTTAAAATACTACCAGACAAAAAATTTAAAAGAACTTTTTCAAAATACTGATTCATTTTACATATTTTAGTTCTTAAGAGAAATTTAACTGATTTAAAAAAATATAGTGAAAAAAAATAACCACAACAAACAGCAGTCTTACTATTTAAAATAACATTTTTTGACTGTTTAAATACAAGACTTTATTAAGAAAAAAAAATTAAATTTTGGTCTTAAATGGGTTAATATGCTGTATAACAAACCAAACCCACCAAAGCAGAACATGTAACTAGACCTTTGATTCCAAGAGAATCTTGGATATATATCCAAGATTCTCTTGGAATCAAAGGTCTAGTTACATTGAGTGGATTATAGCATTGGTTAAAAATACATCAAGCTTCCTGGTAGTTGAATGTTCAATCCCTAGGTTTTATCATGTTCAGAAATCTTGGTTCAGTGAAAAACAAACAAGCAACACAAAAGGTGAGTTTGACTAGTCAGTCCTAATTGATATGCATTGTCCCTAAACATGTGAGTATAACAATGAAGACGAGAAATAACAAAGCCTAATTTATGTTTTCATTATCCTAGGGTCAGTTTATACACAAAGTGTATCATGATTTATTAGCTAATAGACCAACCAAGACAGGATCATGTTAAATATGAGTTTATACAATATTTTCTTTTTCTAATAGAATGGAAGGCATGTTAAATCACTTACTTGCCTTTTGTATCAATCATTACAAAACCTGCTCTTAATTGAATGCCTGGAGGCATTTTTCAAACTTATTTTTTTTTTTTTTTTTTTTGTAACAATTATGATTTTAAGATTAAACTCTATTGTTACTTTCTAAAATCTTCATATTTTATTGCTAACAGACGGTGCTATTGAATCTGTTAGAAATAATATGTGGTGGCTGGCCACTCATATCTGTGTATACCTAGCTACTAGGGCAGCTATCCAATGCCTGCTCAGGTATATTTGTGTTTGTTCAACATCCAAAAAGCCCACCTGTAGTTTATACTACAACTATGCTGACCGTAGTTACAGTTTTGGGGAAATTATTGCATTATCTGACGTGATCAACAGTCTGAACAAGGCCTGTTTGCTCAAAGCCTTAGTCACGATGACTTGTAACTTTGTGCTGTCACAATCATTAACAGCTCCCAAATAGTTCCATCTACCCAGTTTCACTCACAAGGCATGGGTCAACCTGTGGTGTGGTTTTTGTGCACTTTCCAAAGGTGCTGCATACTGGAATTGGCTTTATTTAAACGAACACATTTATACAGGTGAAGAGTTCTTTATTTAGATTGACGTGTTTAACACATTTTTAAATAATTGTCAGAGTGCAAAATGATTTAATACTGAATTTGTTATTAAATTTAGTTCAGCTTTCTCATTATTTCAGCAAACTATTTTACTTACATTTATAAGATAAGTGTAAAAATATAATAAAAACACAGTCATAAGACAAACACTGTTTTATTATTTTAGAGAATTTAGAATTCTATCAAATTATTGAAAAAGCTATCCTATTCCTCTTTTGGAACCCAAGTATGGAACATGTCCAATTTGAAAAGGTTTCATATTTTGATTTTTTTATTGAGAGAAACCATTCCATTGTTTATTCAATTTTGAAAATTTAATTTACATCTTTGAAATGAGAATTTTTTTAATCCATTGTTCCACTTCTTCATTTTGTTATAGAATTTGCAGAGTGAATGTAAGGTTTTAGTTTTAAGTTTGCTTTCATTTTCTCTACTCATGTTTTTTTTTTTTTAGGTTTACAGTAGAGTGGACAAATTTGTGGGTAGCATAATGGTTACTGGCACAGAAAATAGAATCAGTTGTATTCAAATTGTGGGTTAGTTGATTGCAATCTTTTTCACTAATGCCCTTGGGAAAGACATGAATCCTTCTTGTCTCACTTCAGCTATAGTTTAAATTGAGTAGACTAGACTCTTTAGACTTGAGTGACACTCAATCTAAGAGAAGGAAAACTTTTAAACTGTGGAGAACGTAACAGGTAACCAATTCACTATGATGTCAATTCAAAGATGATAAAGTAATCTGTAAAGTCATGATTGCCTCCATCCTGGAGGACATGACACATTTTTTTTTTTCATTTTTTGTTCATCTGTCTATGATTTCTGTCAAAAGAAATGGAAATACAAAATAAACATGCAGTTTCTGACATGTACATATGCAGGCAAGAGACATATATATGTCTCACTATTCTGCTGTTTGATCAGCATGGTAAAATTAGGTAGTGCACAGATACTGCATTGCTGTTCACTCTTAATTTTGTAGTTGTATAGCTGGGAGCAATCTGTCAAGAAATTCCTGTTTTTTTTTGTTTTTTTTTATGAGCCACTTCCATGTTTTACTATTTGCAGAGTGAATAGCTATGGTCAAATGCAAAATAAGTAACAAAATTGTCCAACAAACAGAATTAACAAAGTTTGCAATAAAAAGGAACAGGGCAAAAAATAGCAAACAATATATGCAAAAAGTTCACAAAATAAAATTTGGTATTGACACAAAAAAGCTAGTTTGAACAAGTGAACAAAGCATTCTGATTTCAAGGCAAGACAGATGAAGACTGGAGTCATGAAACTACAAACTGGCTTATTTTATTGGCTAAGAAACAAATCCCAGTATACATTTGTGTGCTTCTGCCTATAAAAGGGGATGAGCAAGTGTTTTGCAGTCATTCCACAGGGTTGAAACCAACACTTGATTTTGGATATTTTCATGTCTTTGAAAGATTTCATCTTTTTCACTGACAGGCCTTTTTATTGTTGTTGTTGTTATTATTTAGATCACCTCTTAATTTCTTTGCATTAGCCTTCAATGCATTTCTACCTTGCAATCTTCAT